ATATATAGTATATATATATTAATAATATAACTGCATGTACCAAATGGTCTCAATGGTGATTCACCATTACTCTATCAGTTCAAAATATTTACCAAATGACTGGGTCAGGAAACTATTAGGGATTAAGTTTTCCATTAAGTTGTATGCTGTCGGTTTCCACCCAAACTTTAGAGAACATGAAAGAGAGTTTGGTGTGAAGTGAGTAAAGAGGTCAGACGCAGAAAGGGAAACTGGGTGGCTTGTGTTTACAAAGACGTCTAGACTCCTTGGAGCTTCATATACATGCAGAAAATAATGGATTAATTGTTCAGCAACTTTGACAATAAACACAAGAAAGGGTATTCAACATTTCCTGATACCCACGCTCTTAAAGTGCTGGTATCTGTCCTTTAAGGCCACAATAATAACCGTTCTTTATAACCAGTCTTTTTATAACTCCCAGCACACGCCCAGCTTAAACCTTGTGGGCAAAAACCCTCCTCCGTCTCTCTCTCTCTCTCAAACACCCACACCCATCCATACACCAACACACATACAAACACAAGCTGTGTGAGCCAACATGCTGATCAATCACAGATGGAGGTCTGGCTATTGCTGTTGCTCGCTTGCCAAAAGATTTAGAGTCTCTCTTTGCAGCTCCTCCCATTCAGCAGTTTTGGTGTTTCTATAACACCGCTCCAGCCTCACGACCACCACCACCTTCTCACTGCGTGCAGAGCAGAGCGGAGCTTAAGCCCAGAAAAGGGTCTTCGCTGCTGATTGTCTGTATGAGTCTTTCTATGGTCACAGAGGAGATTTAGAGCTTGTTAAATTGTGTTTAGAGAGAATCTGAAAACCTGTGGTTGTCAAGCACGGGGAGTAACAGATTAAGGGAGTTAATGTAATCAGCATACAGAAAAAAAAGTAACTGTAATCTGGTACAGAAATAAAAGATGTAGCTCACCTGGTAGAGCGTCCCACCTCTCTTTTTCCCCCCTTTCCTGTCTGTCTTCACCCGTCATGTTGAAATAAAGGCCAAAAAATATCTTTAAAAGTTACAGTTAGCTAGCAGGGGATGTAACAACACATTATCTAATAACACAAACAAAATAGGGATGCAGGTTGTGGATGTTTTTTAAGCTGATAATAAAACCTGCTTCTCATGGCCGATACCGATAAGATAACAAATAATTTACATATTTCAAAAAGGATAAAAAGGAATTTATTACCTGTCGTTTATGCACTCCTGAGGATAAGAAAGGCTGAGATGTAGTGAGAAAAGATGGATGATTTAATGTTTCATAGACAACACTATTGTAGACAATAACTAAAACAAACAACAGTTCTCTCAATAGACTCTATAAATGTTAATTTTTTTTAAACTTCACAAACATACTTTGGCTTTCATACAACATAAAGTCCAAAAAACTATTATTCATATCAACTGATAATTTTATGGCTGTAATTTAATTATCCTAATAATTTACAATATAAATTTCCATTATCTGTCCTGATAATTATTGCGCATCCCTACTACAAAATGTGAGAGTTGCCCTTTTTTTATGATGGAAATATAATAATATGGTGTTTAATAACCATAGATTGTATAATTTAAAATGTACATAGTGACCCATAGGTTTCCGAAGAGCTGTTTCGAAGCCCACTCTGGTTGTCGCCATCTTGGCAGTCCTGGTTAGGGAAAAACAGCCACCTGTGAC